TCCAGACCACAACCCGGGCGTGTGCCCTGACTGGGAATTGAACCGTGATTCCTGGTTCATGAGTTGACGTTCAACCACTGAGCCAGACCGGCCGGGCTAAAACATGAATTTTTAAAGTTTCGGGCCCCTTAGCCTAAGCATCAGCGTGCTGATCTGTGACATGGGGGCACCACACCCACGTTATGTAAGACGATTGGACATGCGCCTGGCACAGGCCTGGCACTTGGCAGCTGTCCCGTCCCCTTGGCCACCCTGCCCGATGACAGCTCCCTCAGGAATTTATACAGCCTCCTTGCTCTCTCACGTGGCACCGATCTGCCTCAAACTGTCGTCACATCTGAAGTGCTCACCCAGCTGTCCTTAGGCTGCGCCACACTCGGCACCCAAGGGCCCCCAGTGCTGCCAACGTGCTCCCGCATCCGGGACCCGGGGCTCCCAGCCAAAAGCTGCCAACGGGCCATCTCTCCTGCCCCCCTACATTTCAGAGCGGGGTCTCTGAAACAGCCATTTCTTCACAGTCCCATTTTTCTCTGCCTCTGATCCAATGTCCTTACATAAAAGAGCTCCTGAGTAGACACTGGATCATTTGGTGTAATTTACATACAGGTCTATGAAGTGCGATTTGCTATCTATATTTGACCAGATGCAGTGTTTTTTTTGTGTGTGTGTTTTTTTAAAATATATTTTATTGATTGATTTTTCACAGAGAGGAAGAGAGAGGGATAGAGAGTTAGAAACATCGATGAGAGAGAGTCATCGATCAGCTGCCTCTTGCACACTCCCCTATTGGGGATGCGCCCACAACTAAGGTACATGCCCTTGACCAGAATCGAACCCGGGACCTCTCAGTCCACAGGCCAACGCTCTATCCACTGGGGCAATCCGGTTTCGGCCAGATGCAGTGCTTTTGATTGCTCCCTGGAGCGAGAACAAGATGAGCCCTCTCCGGTGTGGCTCAGTGGTTAGTGGCCTCCCAGGGACTAAAGGGTCCCGAGTTCGATTCCACTCAGGGCACGTGATTCTCTCATCACTGATGTTTCTATCTCTCCTTCCCTCTCCCTTTCTCTCTGAAATCAATTTTAAAAAATTAGAAAAGAGTATTTATTAGCATTACATTTCCTAAATATGTTACTTACGTTGTGGCTGCTAATTACTTATGTCGCCATTGAGTAGGTTAGAGAATTAGGTACAGCACACGATCTGGGACAATGCCCTTGATCTTCAGCGATGTCTGCTGATGGACTTGGGGATCAAAAGTTAACAATGCCTGCCACTAACTTTCAGGGGTTTCAGGGAAAATGTGCATATCTAGAGAGATACCAAAGCAAATGCGCCAAATGCAAATAACCGAGAGCCAGGTATAAGCAGCACTCTACGGGGCCTGCTGGTGTGGCTCAGTGGTTGAGTGCCAACCTATGAACCGGGAGGTCATAGGTTCGATTCCCCGACAGGGCACGCGCCTGGTTTGCGGGCTTGATCCCCATCGGGGGATGTGCAGGAGGCAGCCAATCCATGATTCTCTCTCATCATTGATGTTTCTGTCTCTCATTCCCTCTCCCTTCCTCTCTCTGAAATCAATAAAAATATATTTAAACACCACAGGAGCAGAAAGAGAAATCCCAAGATCAGAAAGTGACACACTGCCAGGCAGCAGGACTGTCCTCTCTGGTCCTCCCTCGGGCCAGCTGCCCCAGCCACGCCTGCTCGGGGTGATGGGTCCACACCCAGGACAGCCCCGCGCGGAGTGTAAAGGTCGAGGCACCGATGCGAGTTCCTGGAGAGAGTCCTCAATCAAGAACGGAGAGTTCAAGCTGTTTATTCCAGAGATCTTACAACGCGGCCTTTGCTTCCGAGTGAAAAGATCACTTTCTATTCTCGAAAAGGAGATAGGGCTGAGCTAGAAATGGCCAAGATAAGCCTGAGATGCCAGGGAAAGGAAGTCACATACGGGCATTCCACAGGGGGGCCAGAACAAGAGTCCACCTCTTCAGTTTCCGAAACCCAACTTCCTGATGTCGTAAGAGCAATCCAACATTACAGCCCCTCAGACTGTACAAGGAGCCCGGAGTGGGTATCGAAATCCTGCCTGGAACGCATGTGAAGATAAGACATAGGAGAAACAACAAGTTCATGGCATTTTACTTCCTTTTAAAGCCACGTCCAGCGAAGTACTTGGGCTTAATTACTTTACCGATTTTTTACAGAGAGGAAGAGAGAGGGACAGAGAGTTAGAAACATCAATGAGAGAGAATCACTGATCAGCTGCCTCTTGCACACCCCCCACTGGGGTTGTGGCCCGCAACCAAGGTACATGCCCTTGAACCGGAAATCAACCCGGAGGAGAGAGAGAGAGAGAAACACTGATGTGAGAGGGAAACATCAATCGGCTGCCTCCTGCACACTCCCTACTGAGGATCAAGCCCACCACCCGGGCATGAGCCCTGACTGGGAATCGAACCGGCAATCAGGGTGAGGCTCGGGAGAGCGCCAAGTCAAGTACAGCAAGTCCTCGTTTAATGTCATGACAGGTTAACGCAACTTGAAATGAAATGACGGACATGAAACCACTGTGCCATGGGCTAATCGATATGAACAACAACTCACCAAGTCATAGCCCAGTGGTCGGCAAACTCCTTAGTCAATGGAGCCAAAAATGTCTTTGGAGAGCCACATGTTTTAAACTTATACTTCTTCTAGTGCCACTTCTTCAAAACAGACTCGCCCAGGCCGTCGTATTTTGTGGAAAAGCCACACTCAAGGGGCCAAAGAGCCGCATGTGGCTCGCGAGCCGCAGTTTGCCGACCACTCTGTAATTCCCTTGTACCAGGCTCCTTGTGGAGTCAGAGTCAGGGAAGATGCTGAGAGGAACTGCCCTGCATTCCAGCAGTCAATCCTGAGAATGCCCAGACTGCGCCAGCCTGCAGAGTGCCCTGAGAGCCTGGGAGAGGGCAGAGACTGAGAGTCCCTAGACTAATAACACCCGCCTCACCCTAGCCAGGGTGGACCAGTGGCTAGAGCATCGGCCTGCAGACTAAAGGGTCCCAGGTTCGAGTCCTGTCCAGGGCATGTACCTTGGTTGCAGGCTCCTCCCTGGCCCAGGCCCTTGTTGGGGCGCATGTGCAGGAGGCAACCAATAAAGTGTGTTTCTCTCACATCGCTATTTCTGTGTCTTTCCCTCTCTCTTTCACTCTCTCTAAAAATCAATGGAACTGAAACCGGTGTTGCTCAATGGATAGAGCCTTGGCCTGCAGACTGAAAGGTCCCGAGTTCGATTTCGGTCAAGGGCATGTACCTTGGTTTGGGGCACATCCCCAGTGGGAGGTGTGCAGGAGGTGCTGATCGATGATTCTCTCTCATCAATGTTTCTAACTCTATCCCTCTCTCTTCCTCTCTGTAAAAAATCAATAAAAAATATATATATACATATATATTTAAAAAAATATGTGTGTGTGTGTGTGTGTGTGTGTGTATATATATATATATATATATATATATATATATATATATTTTATTGATTCTCTACAGAGAGGAAGGGAGAGATAGCTCTATCCACTGAGCCAAACTGGCTTCGGCCAATCAAATATATTTAAAAAATCAATAAAAATAAAAATCAATGGAAAAATATCCTTGGGTGCGGATTAAAAATATGTATAAAGAGATAAAAATACAAACATCTGCCCCATCGGGATGGAAACAGAGTCATAAAGGACCATGGCTTAGCAATGAGCACAGAGCATCCAAAAAATCACTACCACCCTCCAAGGGCCCAGGGTCCCGGTGACAACCAGCTGGAGAAAAACCAGGACCAAGCCAAACCGGAGCCGCCTGGACCTCCGGCAGGGAGCAGCTCTGGCTGGGTGTGCGCCCAGGGGGACAAAACACATGCTGGCAGCTGCCCTGCCCTGGCCGGCAATCGCCCGGGTCTAATCTGGATCTTGAGGGCGGAGGCCACGCCAGGGAACATGGGACTCTGAACCCCTCCGATCCTGCCTGACATCAGCTTCTCTGCAGAGCGTCACGTGACCTTCGGCTACGTTAATGATGCCTTAGCCACTGCTTTCCTGTTCAGGAAAAGTAAAGATTTCACCGGGGAAGTCAAAGCCTCGGAGTCGGGATTATGTGAAAGCTTCACTCTTACTGGACCGTTGCCGGGAAACTCATCTGATAACCAACATAAATCTACTGATCTCACCGTTCAGCCCGACAGCCAGTCATTCCGGGGACATGGCTGCCATCCCCCAGGAGGTCTGCATGGAAAGCCGAACCATGCTACAGGTCCAAGAGTGATCTCTGTGTGTTACCATTGGGAACGGATCTTTGCAAAGAACCCCCAAAACTATCACACTTAAGTTAGTAAATGAAAACGGGTTCTGCCCGGCTGACGTAGCTCAGTGGTTGAACGTCGACCTATGAACCGGAAGGTTGGGGTTCGAGTCCCAGTCAGGGCACATGCCTGGGTTGTGGGCTCGATCCCCAGTAGAGGGCCTGCAGGAGGCAGCTGATCCATGATTCTCTCTCATCACTGATAGTTCTCTCTCTCCCTTCCCTTCTCAAATCAGTAAATTTATTTTTATATATATAAAACAGTTCTAGGCCAAACCAGTATGGCTTAGTTGGTTGAGCGTCAAAAAGACATATTAAGAGCCCTGACTGGTTTGGCTCAGTGGATAGAGCGTTGGCCTGTGAACTGAAAGGTCCAAGGTTCGATTCCGGTCAAAGGCATGTACCTTGGTTGCAGGCACATCCCCAGTGGGAGGTGTACAGGAGGCAGCTGATTGGTGTTTCTCTCTCATCAATGTTTCTAACTCTCTATTACTCTCCCTTCCTCGCTGTAAAAAAACATCAATAAAATATATATTTTTAAAAACATATTAAGAAAAAGCAAAACCAGGTTCTGGCAATGTCCCAAGGGAAAAAGCACAAAAGAAAGCACATGAAGGTGCAGAGGGATGGCTGAGGCGCTTGGCTTCCTGGGAACCCAGGTTTGGGAGAGAAGGTACCTTATCCATGTGGAAGATCAGGTCCAATTCACAAACGTTTTCGAAGCATTTATCCAGGGTCTCCACAAAAACCTAGGAAACACAGAGAAATCGGTAAAGGAGAGAAACGGGAAATAGTCACATCTTCGTAAACAGCACACTGGAAAGTAAAGGGCGAAGTCATGATACTGTGTACCTGATGTAAATCTCAAACAAAACAGAACCTCATTTCTTATCTTTGCTCTCCCATTTTCCTCTCCGGTTTTTAATTTCTAAGAGATCATCTTGTTTGTGTTTCTTGTTTGTTTAGCAGCCCGTGTTTGTCTTCCTTTATCGCTCTGTGGCTTAGAGATAAGGGGTTGTTTCTCTCTCCCTCTCCCTCTCTCTAAATAAAAAGAAATTAATAAAAAAGAAAATATATATGTACATATATGTGTGTGTGTATATACATACATATATACATACACACACACACACACACATATGGAGCAGTCACGTGTATTTTTTCCCTCAAGCCTCAAAACACCATTAGTTTGAAGAACCCAAGGAATAGCCGAAACCAGTTTGGCTCAGTGGTAGAGGGTCGGTCTGCGGACTGAGGGGTCCCGGGTTCAAATCCGGTCGGGGGCATGTACATTGGTTGCAGGCACATCCCCAGTGGGGGGTGTGCAGGAGGCAGCTGGTCGATGTTTCTCTCTCATCGACGTTTCTAACTCTCTATCCCTTTCCCTTCCTCTCTGTAAAAATCAATATAATATATATTATAAAAAAAAAAAAGATTTAGTGAAAGTTTAACTGACTGACTGCTAGCCTCTGTTTCATCAGAGGCAAAAACAATGGATGCGTGAGAAGACGCTCTTGCTTGGAGGTTGGGAAGGGCAGAGAAATGACAAGAACGGCGAGAAAAGGAAATGGTTGAAAAGCAAAAAACAAGAAGTGAGCTACTGGAAATGTACACAAATGAACATAAAAACCAAGGGCAGCGAGAGGGATGGTAGGAACCAATGAACCCAGAAGCTCTGGGTGTTGAAGGGTTGCAGTGGAGCTTTCTCATAGCGCCATCTGGTGGACATCTGGCAACTTTACCAGTATCAGTACAGAGACTGACAAAAGGATCTATAGGATGGCTACTCAAAAACCGAAAGCGAACCCTAAAGCAGCTGCTGTCATTAGCTGACTGCACGTACCTGGATGAGGTCCAAGATCCCAAGTTCACTCTCGGATGAATCCACACAAAATACAAAGTAGAGGGTAGCGTAATGCCGATAGATCAGTTTGTAATCAGAACCACCAATCAAGCTGTGGAAGACAGAAAACACTTAAATCCCTGCATTTTTAAAAAATATATTTTATTGATTTTTTTTACAGAGAGGAAGAGAGAGGGATAGAGAGTTAGAAACATCCATCAGCTGCCTCTTGCACACCCCCTACTGTGGATGTGCCCACAACCAAGGTACATGCCCTTGACCGGAATCGAACCTGGGACCTTTCAGTCCGCAGGCGGCCGGCTCTATCCACTGAGCTAAACCGGCTTCGGCTAAATCCCTGCATCTTAATTAAACACATCGAAGAGCAACCCTGTCCCAGGGAATTGGGACTTGAGCCAGCACACAGGGGGAGGACTGGCCAAAGCATAGGCCAGTTCTACCAGGCGAGTGTGACCACGCTTGGCCCTGGTGCCTAAATCACTTCCCTCACCTTTTTTTTTTTTTCCTGCTCATCCTCCCAGAAACCAAACCTCTAAGTGAGAAAAATCCGAAACACAACTGTTCAACAGCTTCCAAACGGAATGTGGTCTCTCCCTCAGCCCATCATGCCGAGGTCAGCTCCAGCTGGCTGCACGGGCACCCAGCTGTCACGTGGGCAGAAACCGGAAGCTGGTCACTTACCTCCCGCCCTCCAGGAAGTTACAGATGTTGTCATCCCGTTTGAGAACCAGATGGAAGGTCTCTCGGACGATCTGCTGCTGAATTTCTTCGGGCTGTGGGATAAAAAAAGTAAAGTGAGTCAGCAGGGGGCAGTGGTCGGCAAACTGCGGCTCGCAAGCCGAGGTTTGCCGCTCTGTTGGCTAATGAGTTTGCCGACCACTGAGCTGGGGCATCTGGAAATGTATCCCACTGATGGAGGTGGACAGGGAGAGAAGTGCTTCCAAGCTGGGAATGATCTGAACAGATGGTACCAGATCCCAGAAAAAAGGGATGAGTAGCCGAAACCGGTGTGGCTCAATGGATAGAGTGTCGGCCTGTGGACTGAAAGGTCCCAGGTTCAATTCCGGTCAAGGGCATGTACCTTGGTTGCGGGCACATCCCCAGTAGGGGGTGTGCAGGAGGCAGCTGATCGATGACTCTCTCTCATCGACGTTTCTAGCTCTCTATCCCTCTCTCCTCCTCGCTGTAAAAAATCAATAAAATATATATTAAAAAAAAAAAAAGGGGGGGATGAGTAGAGAAAAAAAGAATAACGGGAATCTCTGGAAAAATGGACAAGGCTCTGTTATAGGAATTAAGCAAGGGTATATTGCCTAGCCAGCATGGCTCAGTGGTTGAGTGTTGACCTATGAACCAGGAGGTCACGGTTTGATTCCCATCAGGGCACATGCCTGGGTTGCGGGCTCGAACCTCAGTGTGGGGTGTGCAGGAGGCAGCCAATCAGTGATTCTCTCTCATCATTGGTGGTTCCATCTTTCTCTCCCTTCTGCTCTGAAATCAACAAAAATATTATAAAAACAAAACAAACAAAAAGAAAGGTATATTTAACAAGCTATCTAATCACTAACCATTGTCCTGACAGATAATCTGATATCAATATATATAAAAGCCCAAGGAATCAGCCAACTGGTAGCTATGACATGCACTGACAGCCAGGGGGCAGATGCTCACCACAGTAGCTGCTGAACTACAGTGACTTGGCAGCGGGGGTTCTCTAGTGATGCAGCTGGAACCAGAGAGGAGGGAGCCCGATTCCGGGGAATGTCACCCGAGAAACGCCGTCTCGCAATCCGGGACCCCTTGGGGGATGTCGGAGAGGCGGTTTCAGCCCAAACCCTGCAGGCCAGGCCGAGAGATGCCACCAGTGCACAGAGTCTCTAGTTTCTTTATAGTTAAGAATAAAGAAAGGAGAATTGACAGCTCTCCAGCAAGGTGAAAGAATAACTAGAAGGCGTGGTCCTGAAATATTTTGTCTTGCCCTCGAAAACATCTATGTCAACAGGCCTAACACCTTAAAGAGGTCGAGATGTAACTGTGTACACGTTAAAAAACCGACAAAACAACCTGTCATCTTATCTGCTGGTGATGTTGGTATTACATATAAGATATGCTACCATGCCAAAACTGGTTTGGCTCAGTGGTAGAGCGTTGGTCTGTGGACTGAAAGGTCCTGGGTTCGATTCCGGTCAGGGGCATGTACCTTGGTTGCGGGCCCATCCCCGGTAGGGGGTGTGCAAGAGGCAGCTGGTCGATGTTTCTCTCTCATCGACGTTTCTAGCTCTCTATCCCCCTCTCTTCCTCTCTGTAAAAAATCAATAAAATATATTAAAAAAAAAAAAAAAAAGATGTGCTACCAACAGTGTTACTGAGAAAGATAGTTCTATAGAGAAAAAGAATTTTAAATAATCGCAGAGCTACAAAAACTCCCCCCTCCACACTTATCACATCTGAGAGAGGTCGATTATGATGGAATCTCTTGATAATTCACATTTGATTTCTATTTATACACATAAGGTTCAAAATGAGTATGGACCTAACTGGTTTGGCTCAGTGGATAGAGCATCAGCCTCCAGACTGAAGGGTCCCAGGTTCGATTCCGGTTAGGGCATGTATCTTGGTTGTGGGCACATCCGCAGTGGGGGGTGTGCAAGTGGCAGCTGATCGATGATTCTCTCTCATTGATGTTTCTCTCTCATCGATGTTTCTGTCTATCCCTTTCCCTTACTCTCTGTAAAAAAAATCAATAAAATATACTTTTTGAAAAATGAGTATTTTTTTAAAAAAAAGGACTGGAGAAACCAGTAATTACAGAAGCAATTAAAAGCTCTAGACCAGTGCTCTCAAATCTCAATAAATGTGCAATAAGCCACCTGGGAATGTTATCAGAATGCAGATTATTCTGACACAGTAGGTCTAGGTAAGTCCTGAGACCATTTCTAACAAGTTTCTAGGCAATACCAATGCTGTTGGGGGCTACACTTTGAGGAGCAGAGCTTAAGCAAACCTTCAGAGTGGACTTGCCCTAAGAGTCAGATAATAGATTTAAAAATGTTAATACCGCTGAAATCTGTTTGGCTCAGTGGATAGAGCGTTGGGCCTTCGAACTGAAAGGTCCCAGGTTCGATTCCAGTCAGGGGCATGTACATTGGTTGTGAACACATCCCTAGTGGGCGGTGTGCAGGAGGCAGCTGATGTTTCTCTCTCATCGATGTTTCTCTCTCTCTCCCTTCCTCTCTGTAAAAAAAAAAAATCAATAAAATATGTATATTTTTAAATGTTAATACCTTTCTTTCTGCAGGAATTTATACTTGAAATGTTTAGTTATTGGAAAGAAATAGAGATAAAAACAGGGAAAATGTCATGGTGGAGAAACCATTTTTCAGAACTTTGACTTGCACTAGCACAGTGGCTCGGTATTTACTGACGGATGAATGAAAACGCACTAATCACTGACCCTTGTAAACCTGAGTAAATCGACCAGGTATTTTCCTGGTTTCCATTTCAAGCTTGCAGAGGGAAGCATCAGCACTTTTTTAAACTGCGAAAAACATCTTTCAAACTAGAGCCTTTTTAATCTGACTCTAGGGTGGAGGTGGCAGCAGATGGTGGAGAAAATATGAAATGATGAAGCTACCGAATTTCTAATTCAACAAAAAGGTAAACTACCAATTGTTTATAGTCCTCAGTGATTTTTATTATTTTTATTGAATTCAGAGAGGAAGGGAGAGGGAGAGAAAGATAGAAACATCAATGATGAGAATAATTGATTGGCTGCCTCCTACACACCTCACACTGGGGATGTGCCCACAACCCAGACATGTGCCCTTGACTGGAATCAAACCCGGGATCTTTCAGTCTGCAAGCCAACGCTCTATCCACTGAGCCACACCAGGTAAGGTTAGACCTCAATTATTTATTTTATTCTTTTTCTTTCTTTATTTTAATAAATCTTTTTTAAAAATATAAATTTTATTGATTTTTTTACAGAGAGGAGGAGAGACGGATAGAGAGCTAGAAAAGTCAATGAGAGAGAAACATCGACCAGCTGCCTCTTGCACACCCCCTACTGGGGATGTGCCCGCAACCAATGTACATGCCCTTGACCAGAATCGAACCTGGGACCTTTCAGTCCGCAGACTGACGCTCTACCACTGAGCCAAACCGGTTTTGGCTATTTTAATAAATCTTTACTGTTCAGATTACTACAATTGTTTCTCCTCCACCCCCCCTCAATTATTTTATCATAATAATCCCTCATATCCTTCAATACTTTTCTTTTTACAAGGTTAATTTTTCACTCCTAAGCTAGTATGGTTTTTACAAAAATACTATGTTCTTCAAAGATAGTACAAATGGTTAGTAAGGACAGGAAAAGATGCTCAACATCATTAGACATTAGGGAAATGGGAATTAAAACCACAATAAAAATCTACTTCACACTCACTAAGACATCGTTAATGGAAAACAGTAAAAGTCACCAGGGAGGTAGAGAAATTGGAACGAATACTGAAATTGGGAATGCCAAAGGGTTCAATCACTTGGAAAAAATTGGGCAATTCCTCAAAACGTTCACCATAAAGCGGCCGTATGACCCAGAAATTCTACTCCTAGGTATAAAATCAAGAGGAATGAAAAACACACGTCCACATAAAAACTTGCAGTACATGGCCCTAGCTGGATTGGCTCAGTGGTTAGAGCACTGGTTTGTAGACAGGAGGGTCCCAGGTTTGATTCCGGTCAAGAGCACGTGCCCGGGTTGCAGGCTCCATCTCCAGTATGGGGTGTGCAGGAGGCAGTCGATCAATGATTCTCTCATCATTGATGTTTCAATCATTGATGTTTCAGTCAGGGTCTCCTTGAGGCACCCCGGTCACTTACAGAGAGCCCAGAGAACAAGGAGGTGTCACAAAATGGCATAGAGCCCTAACCGGTGTGGCTCAGTGGATAGAGCATCAGCCTGTGGACTGAAGGGTCCCGGGTTCGATTCCAGTCAAGGGCATGTACCTTGGTTGCAGGCACATCCCCAGGAGGGGGTGTGCAGGGGGCAGCTGATCGATGTTTCTCTCTCAACCATGTTTCTAGCTCTCTATCCCTCTCCCTTCCTCTCTGTAAAAAATCAATAAAATATATTTAAAAACAAAACAAAAACAAAATGGCATAGAAATGCCAGGGTCCGGAAAGGGGTCAGGGAGAGCGGGAAAGCGGTCGGCGTGTGAGGGTCACGCGTGGTGAGGGAGCCCGAGGTGGTCGGCGGAGAGGAGGGGAGCCTGGGGGTCGGGAGGAAGGGGACGCGGTGCCCCGGAGGGACGTGACGCAGCCGGGCCGCACTCACGAAGCGCTGGTAGAAGCGGACCAGCCGCGGCTTCCCGTGGTTGTTGAAAACCAGAATCGCCTGAATCATCTCTGCCGGCCGTCACGCTCCTTTCGAGCTGCCTGCTGTCTCCAGAAAACATCAACTTCCGCCACAACTCCGGCACTTCCGGTGGGTGCGCCTTTGAAAAGCGGCCGGCGGAAACTCCCCCCCATGCTGCGCCTGAGGGCCGGACCGCGAAGAGGCCGGCTTCCGGATCGCGGAGGAGCCAGGACCCGCTGCAGGCCCGCGGGGATAGGGATCTGGGGGGGCCACGAGACCCCGAGGCTGGGAGGGTTGTCTCCTCGGCCAGCCTGGCCGGGACGCGAGTCTGGATCTGTGTTCTTTGCCCAGACCGACCGCTCGCCTCACTGATCACGTGGGAGAAGCAGGTTCCCACGCAGGAACGCCTGCGCGAAGTGGCGGAGGCCTCCCTCTCTTCCCATCCACATCCCGACATCATGTCCTGCTTGCCCTCTATGAGATACAGGCTAATTTAGCCTTTTCCCAGTTGGAGCGCGTTAAGATCTTTTTCTTTCTTTCCTCCTTTCTCTTTCTTTTTTTCTTTTCTTTTCTTTCTTGATTTCTTTTCTTCTTTCTTTCTTTCCTCCTCTTTCCTCCTTTCCTTCCTCCTTTTCTTCTTTCTTTCCTCCTTCCCTTCCCTTTGATTCCCTTCCCTTCCTTTCCCTTTTCTATCCTTTCCTTTCTTTTCTTTCTTGGATTCCATCCATAGTAGATATGAATTGTGGAATCAAGAGATCGCTAATGCAATCCCATTGAAAAGGTACCGGCGACCCCATATTGATAAATTTTTTTTATTTTTTTTTTACGTTTAATGACAGCACCTTCTTAGGCTACAGATGGAGGTGCAAACTGGGTCATTTATACAAATGACTGGGAATGTTTCAAACACCTTTAAAATGTATTCGCCTGGCCCTCACAAGCTGTATGGGCGTGCAGGAGGCAGCTGATCAATGATTTTAAAATGTTTAAAAAAAAATAACATTAGACCCAACAAATGAATGTTTCTCTGTTTCTCAAAATCGATCAATACCTTTTCTAAAATAAATATGTATTACTCTCTAGCCTAAACTGGTTTGGCTCAGTGGATAGAGCGTCGGCTTGTGGACTGAAGGGTTCCAGGTTCGATTCCGGTCAAGGGCATGGACCTTGGTTGTAGGCACGTCCCCCAGTGGAGGGTGTGCAAGAAACGGCTGATTGATGTTTCTGGCTCTCTATCCTTCTCCCTTCCTCTCTGTAAAAAAAAAAAATCAATAAAATATATTTTAAAAAATGTATTAGTCTTGTAGCCAAGGTTGTTTAATTCAAAAAAATCCAAAAGGCAGTAATATGCTCTGAAACTTAACAAAATGTTTTCAATGTTGAGAGGAGTACCAAAGAAAATTCTAAAAGAATGAGGGGACTTAGCTCTGCCAACTATCAAAACCTACTGTGATAGTCACATTGTCACTATAGCAAACCCACTGAAATATAATGGCTAATTGAAATATGAAATAATTTACTATGTGATGTAGGAGAAATGATAACCTGACAGTGGGGGGAAATGCAATAAATATGTTGGCATAACTGGTTAGCAATTTGAAATTAAGCAATTTCGTTATCTCACTTCATATCCTTCTAAAATTAAAGTTTAGTAAAGTGGTTTAGAGACAAATATAAAACTAGATAATAACTAAAAATGGAGGAAAATGAAGTTGCGTAACAGCTGAAAAGAATATCTTAGAAGCGATAAAAACCACAAGTCATCAGCTCTATATAAAGACTTTATATTTGTAAAACCAATTTTTAAATGTGGGAACAAATAAAAATGGAAAAGTTGTTAAAATCATGGCCAAGGAGCTGCCTCCTTAGCGCAGTAGGCAGCGTGTCAGTCTCATAAAATATGGCAAATGGTTATATTTTAAAACAGAAATAGCTGTGATAAACCGAAAAGAGTTACTCCCTTAGTAGATAAATGGGCAAAGAAACTGAAAAACAAAAGAGGAAACACATCTAGGAAATGAAAATGTTTAAGCTCGCTATTAATGGGGGAAAGGCTAATTAAAATAAAGTATTAACTTTAAAATTAAAGTATTTTCACCTTATTAAATACAATTTTTAAAAGTGTTAGCAGCCAGAACCGATTTGGCTCAGTGGATAGAGCATTGGCCTGCGGACTGAAGGGTCCCAGGTTTGGTTCTGGTCAAGGGCATGTGCCTTGGCTGCGGGCACATCCCCAGTGGGGAGTGTGCAGGAGGCAGCTGATTAATATTTCTCTCTCATCGATGTTTCTAACTCTCTATCCCTTCCTCTGTAAAAAAATCAATTAAAAAATACACATATATATATCTTTAAAAAGGAACCAAAGAATTACCCCAAAATTGGACAACGATAGAGCTATTAAATGGTAGCCGATCTTAAAAAAATAATAATAATGGTTATGAAAACTCAGTAGCAATATGGAAAGTGATTATATAACGATGGAAAAAGGATAATCTCATAAACTGATGAACAAAAATAGACCCAGAGACAAAGAAACCTGGAACAGACTGTCAAACCTCAGAGGGAAGGCAGGGAGAGATCAACCACTGAACTTGGGTGCATATATGCATAACCCATGGACACAGAATAGGGTGGTGAAGGCCTGGGGGGACAGGGGCAGGAGAGGGCAATGGAGGGAAAAGGGGACATATAAACAATATGTCTTTTTAATCTTTCAACAATAAAGATTAAAAAAAAAAAATGCCCAGCCAGTGTGGCTCAGTGGTTGAGCATCAACCTAGGAACCCGGAGGTCACCAGTTTGATTCCCAGTCAGGGCACGTGCCCAGGTTTTGGGCTCCATCCCTCGTGCAGGAGGCAGCATCATCACTGATGTTTCTATCTCTCTCTCCCTCTCCCTTCCTCTCTGAAATAAAAAAATAAAATAAAAATGTTTTGTTTAAAAAAGAAAAAGGGAAGGGGGGGCGGGGGGGGGAAGGTGCTATCAAAAACGTGGCCTGGCAGAGTGTGTCTGAGAGGTGAGGACCAGCCAGCCACACCTGGGCACAGCATCCCCAGACAAGCAGACAGAGAGGCCAGGAAGCAGGACCCCCCCAAGGTGGCGGAGACACAGAGGAGGAAGAGAGAACTGGCAGCTTCAGGAGAGAAAAGGGCACCAGGGACAGGAGGCCTGAGCAGCAGAGCAGAGGCCCTGGCCCAGAGCACCAGGGAGGACAGGTGAGGGAAGAACCGGGAGAATCCCAGGGCAGAGGGAGTAGCTGTCAGCTTCTCTTCCTCCGGGCCGCTTTGCATATACAAGGGGGATGTTTCCGAATTCTGCACCGAGACCAAGCCCAGTTCCTCTGACCGCGCTGGGGCTGGGGCACTCACTCACCACCTGCCTGCAGAGACACAGCTGCCCTCAGGCCGTGGCTGTCAAAAAAACTAGGAGGCTACAGCGGCCCTGATGCTAAGGGTGTGGCTGTTGGATTTGGTCTCAGCACGGCTTGTTCAGAGCGAGGAAGGCCTCTGGCGACCTCCTGGTTCCTAGGTTGATGCTCAACCACTGAGCCACACCAGCCAGGCATTTTTTTTTTTTTTTTAATCTCCTTGAACTGCAGAAGGGAAGTCGATGGCAGAAATTCTCAGCGTCGGTGAGCCCTGGGGTTACGCCTTCTTCCAGAAACCTCAGTCGTCCTGGGGATAAAGCAAAGAGACGTGAAGTGAGCACATATTTTAAATATATATATTTTATTGATTTTTTCACAGAGAGGAAGGGAGAGGAAGAGAGAATTAGAAACATCGATGAGAGAAAGACCCATCAGCTGCCTCCTGCACACCCCGCACTGGAGATGTGCCCGCAACCAAGGTACATGCCCTTGATGGTAATTGAACCTGGGACCCTTCAGTCTGCAGGCTGATGCTCTATCCACAGAGCCAAACTGGCTAGGACTCAGCCTCACCTCTTTAGAGGTGGCCCAGGGCGTCAGCTGACATCTCCAATTGTTTCTCTGTCCAAGACTTACTTACTTTATTTTTTAATGTATTTTTATTAATTTCAGAGAGAAAAGGGGAAGGAGAGAGAGAAACATTAACGATGAGAGAGAATCATTGATCAGCTGCCTCTTGCACACCCTACACTGGGAATGGAGCCCATAACCCAAGCAAGTGCCCTGACCGGGAATCGAACCGTGACCTCCTGGTTCATAGGTCGATGCTCAACCATTGAGCGACACCAGCCGGGCCAAGACTCACTTTATCAAGACAAATGGAAATCCAGACCCTCTCGTCCACCTGTGGTCTGTTTTCTCCGACAAAGGCTGTCATCTCCATCACCGAGACAAACAGCCCAGTTTTTCTGTGACTCTGTTTCTGAATGCTCCATTTGGGGCGTTTGACATCAATTCAGATCTTCAGGTGAAATACACTTCCGCCAAAACAAATAGTAAGCGGTGAGTAGGTTGAGGTCAACTAGAGGGCTGACCATTGGCAAACAAACAAAGAAAAAAACAACAACCGCTGAGCACCCAGTTAGCCATTTCCTAGCCGCTCTGGGCAGAGCGCCCAGAACAGAGAAAGGAAATATGCATTCCTTGCTTGGCTGCCTCCGCCTGGCTGATGGTAGTCGCTGGGTGTGACAGTGTTTGCAGACTTGCTCTGAAGTCACACGGTCCCTTCTACTGTCCATTCTCTGTGTCCCGCTTTTTTTTTTTTTTTTTTTAATTGATTTCAGAGAGGAAGGGAGAGGGAGTGAGAGAGAAACATCAATGATGAGAATCATGGATCAGCTGCCTCCTGCATGCCCTCCACTGGGGATCGAGCCCACAACCCAGGCTGTCCCTTGCTTTTATACATCTCTGGGGATTTCTTGTAAATGGGCACAGTTCAGACCCACCAAAAAGAAAGATCCCAGGACCTAACCGGTGTGGCTCAGTGGATAGAGCACTGGCCTGTGGACTGAAGGGTCCCAGGTTTGATTCTGGTCAAGGGCACGGTTCTGGGTTGCAGGCTCCTCCCTGGCCTGGGCCCTGGTAGGGGCGCATGCAGGAGCAACCAATCAAGACGTCTCTCTGACATCGATATTTCTCTGTCTTTCTCGCCCTCTTCCACTCTCTCTAGAAATCAATGGGAAAACATCCTCAGGTGAGGAGAAAAAAGACAAAAGAAAAAAAGGAAGGTCCCAGGTTGTCCGCCTTCACACCTTGAAGAATTTTCCCGATGCAACACACCCTCAGGAAGGCCACGGAGTTCCAACAAGGCTGGAGGGTCAAGTCCACACTGCTGTCTCCTTGTCCTACACACAACTACCGCTGGTACGGACAAAGCTCCTGCCAAGCCCAGCCAGCCCAGCCGGTGTGGCTCAGTGGTTGAGCGCTGACCCAGGAACCAAGAGGTCCCAGTTGCATTCCCGGTCGGGGAACATGCCTGGGTTGTGGGCTGGATTCCCAGTAGGGGGCGTGCAGGAGGCAGCCGATCCATGATTCTCTCTCTCTATCATTGATGTTTTTCTCTCTCCCTCGCCCTTCCTCTCTAAAAAGCAATAATATATATATATATATATATATATATATATATATATATATATATATATATGTTAAAAACAGCCCTAACCGGTTTGGCTCAGTGGATAGAGTGTCAGCCTGCAGACTGAAGGGTCCCAGGTTCGATTCTGGTCAAGGGCATGTACCTTGATTGTGGGCACATCCCCAGTGGGGAGTGTGCAGGAGGCAGCTGATCGATGATTCTCACTCATCGATGTTTCTAACTCTCTATCCCTCTCTCTTCCTCTCTATGAAAAATCAATAAAATATATTTTAAAAAAAATATTAAAAACGCACAACTCCTGCCAAGAGGTAAACCACTCCATCGCCAGGTCCACGGTCGTTGCCCCTGACCTACCCACTCCGCATCCTCCGCCCCGTCCCCCTGCTCTCGGGTCTCCGCCTTGGCCCCTTCGGAAGGCTTCCGGGCCATGATGTTGTCGGTCCATGACGCGCCCGTCTTCGCGTCGCCAGCGAAATTGCACTTGGTCACTGTTCCAGCCTCGAGTTTGGCTAACGAATCTGCGAGAAGGAAGGAAGCTGAGTGGCCTCTCTTCCTGGGGTGGGAACCCACTGGGGGGCTGGCCCCATTCTCCGGGGGTCCCTGTAGCCGGGGCGTGAGCCATTGTTCTCTGCAGGCCTGGGGGTGGACCTCAGAGAGACCGTGGATGGGACCCCCAAGGCCCCAGCTACCCTGTTTCCCCGAAAATAAGACAGTGTCTTAGATTAATTTTTGCTCCCAAAGATGCGCTAGGTCTTATGTTCAGGGGATGCCTTATTTTTCCACAAAGAAGAATACGGCGCACATTTATTGTTAAATGAACATAAAGGAAATCTATTACCTGTCTACGGTACGGCAGTACGGTCGTTGTCAACACAAACCAGACAAACTGTGAATCCTACAGTATCAAGAATTGACTCATTCATTCAATGACAATCACGTCATCATCTTCTGGAACATCATCCTAACAATCCAATTCCTGAATTTCCCGGTGAATTTCTTGTGACTCCATTTCTTTCAGAATCAGGGGGCCAAATCTCTCATGGTTAGCCTGGAGGGGGGGGGGCTTATTTTCGGGGGGGATGCCTTATATTTCACTCAGAAGGAAACCCATCAGTAGGTCTTATTTTCAGAGGATGCCTTATTTTCGGGGAAACGCGGTAGGAATGGGCACCCACAGGTACCATGGGACTGGACAGCATCCCACAATCCAGGGTGTCCAGGGCCTCAGGGCACGGCCCTGGAATTTAGGGATGTTTCTCAAAGGGTCTTGTCCCCCAGAGGCCAGACCTGGCTGCTCCCAGATCTCCAAGCAGGAGGGTTTGGGGCGGGGGGGGGGGGGGGGCCCAGGCCAAATGGGAACACGAGGGCTGCACTGCTCACCCAGGAAGGGGCCGTCGCCTCGGGTTTTCAGCCGAATCCCGGCCCCCAGCTCCAGCTCCAGGGCCTCCATCTCGGACTCGGGCACCCAGAAGGCCACGGTCTGCTCGGGCGTGAGGCTCTGGGTCAGAGCCAGCAGCTCCGGCTTATTCACCAGCTCCTTCAGGGCCTCGGGCGTGAGTCTGTCCGTGTCCCCCTTGGCGTCCACCTCTGCAGGCACACAGCACAAGAGGATGGATTGTTCCCGCTGTGGGACCAGCACGAGGGGCCCTAGACGGTGCGGCTCAGTGGATAGAGCATCGGCCTGCCGACCAATGGATCCCGGGCTCAATTCCAGGCAAGGGCATGTGCCTCCGTGGCAAGCTCCTTCCTGGCCCCATGCAGGAGGCAACCAGTCAATGTGTTCCTCCCACATCGATGTTTCTCTCTGTCTTTCCCTCTCTCTTCCACTCTCCCTAAAAATCAATGGAAAAATATTCTCGAGTGAGATTAAAAAACAAATAAATTAGCCCTAACCGGGGTGGTTCAGTGGATAGAGCGTCGGCCTGCGGACTGAAAGGTCCCAGGTTCGATTCCGGTCAAGGGCATGGACCTTGGTTGCGGGCACATCCCCAGTAGGGGGTGTGCAAGAGACAGCGGATCGATGATTCTCTCTCATTGATGTTTCTAACTCTCTATCCCTCTCTCTTCCTCTCTGTAAAAAAAATCAATAAAATATATTTTTTTAAAAAGAAAAGAAAAGAATTTTCATTCACCAGGCCTCTAGTAAAAAAATTGTTCAGCCGAAACCGGTTTGGCTCAGTGGATAGAGCGTCGGCCTTTGGACTCAAGGGACCCGGGTTCGATTCTGGTCAAGGGCATGTACTCTGGTTGTGGACACAACCCCGGTAGGGGGTGTGCAAGAGGCAGCAGATCGATGTTTCTCTCTCATCGATGTTTCTGACTTTCTATCCCTCTCCCTTCCTCTCTGTAAAAAAAATCAATAAAATACATTAAAAAAAAATAATAATAAATAAATAAATAAATAAAAATGTTCAGCCCTAACCGGTTTGGCTCAGTGGGTAGAGCATCAGCCTTTGGACTGAAGGGCCCCGGGTTCAATGCCAGTCAAGGGCACGTACAGGCAGCAGGCTTGATTCCCGGTCCTGGCTGGGGCACAAACGGGAGTCAGCCAATCACTGTGTCTCTCTCACATCGATGTTTCTCTCTGTCTCTGCCCCTCCTTTCCGCTCTCTAAAAATCAATGGGAAAAATATCGTCGGGTGAGGATGAACAACAACCATGCTCAGAGAATGAATGAGCTGTGGAAAGCACGGATGAACGCAATGACAGGGGGGTGGATGGATGCCGTGCAACCTCAAAACCTTCCCCTCACAGGCGTAGAGAGCAGAGGTCCCGCTACTGCCAGCACCGGGGAGGGAAACAACACCACGAAGGGCCCAAGACCCAAACGACAATTTTGGCAGCAAAGTGGAGGCACCAAGGCAGTGAGAGCCCGGAGCCAGGTTCATGGGTGATTCTGCCAGACTGAGGGGGCGGGGGAAGGGGGAGAGAGGACAGAAGCACTGGGATCATCTGCGTGAACGGGGTACAGGGTTCAGTCAGGGGCCCTCAGGCCAGACATGGGCTTTATTTTATTTTTATTTTATTTTAAATATATTTTATTTATTTTTCACAGAGAGGAAGGGAGAGGGATGGAGAGCTAGAAACATTGATGAGAGAGACACATCGACCAGCTGCCTCTTGCACACCCCCCACCAGGGATGTGCCCGCAACCAAGGTACACGCCCTTGACCGGAATCGAACCCGGGACCTTTCAGTCCGCAGGCTGACGCTCTATCCACTGAGCTAAACCGGTTTTGGCCAGACATGGGCTTTAAAGCCTATCATGCTGCCCGGCTGGCTTGGCTGGGTAGCTGAGTCGACCTATGAACCAGGAGATCCAGGTTCGATTCCCCTCAGGGCACAGATTGTGGGCTCCATCCCCCCAGTAGGGGGCATGCAGGAGGCAGCAGATCCATGATTCTCTCTCATCACTGATGTTTCTCTCTCTCTCTCTCTCCCTCTCTCTTCCTCTCTGAAATCAATAAAAATATTTATTTATTTTTAAATATATTTTATTGATTTTTTACAGAGAGGAAGGGAGAGGGATAGAGAGCTAGAAACATCGATGAGAGAGAAACATCGATCAGCCACCTCTTGCACGCCCCCTACTGGGGATGTGCCTGCAACCAAGGTACATGCCCCTGACCGGAACGGAACCCGGGACCCTTCAGTCCGCAGGCCGACGCTCTATCCACTGAGCCACACCGGTTTCGGCAATTAATATATATTTATAAAATAGAGTCAGTCGTGCTGAAAAGACCCTTTCTCGGGCCGCAGGGCCGAGGTACCTACTGTAGGACGACATGAGGAAGCCTGTGTTCACCTTCCTGGTGGCGCTGAAGTTGGGCTCGATCTCGTTGCCCTTGGGGTCGAACTTCCGGCGGTGGATGTGGCTGGGCCGGATGTACAGGACGTAGTAGCGCTCCTGGGGGGCAGGCGGAGAGTTAGGGGGCTGCTCCACTCCCCCTCCCCTACTCCCCAATACACACAGACACTCCCTGCAGCCCTCCCCAAACTCTACACCCTGGAACCCCGCCCTTGGCTCCAAAAAACATTCTAGCTGTGCAGGTCCCTGCCTACTCCAATATTGATCCATTCGTCCACCCATACGTACACCCATTCATTCATTCATTCATTCACATGTTTTGTTTTAATATATTTTTATTGATTTCAGAGAGAGGAAGGGAGAAGGAGAGAGAGATAGAAATACCAATGATAGCCGAAACCAGTTTGGCCCAGTGGATAGAGCGTCCGCCTGCGGACTGAAAGGTCCCATGTTCGATTCCAGTCAAGGGCATGTACCTTGGTTGAAGGCACATCCCTGGTGGGGGGGTGTGCAAGAGACAGCTGATCAATGATTCTCTCCCGTCGATGTCCCTCTCCCTTCTTCCCAGCTGCCTCTTGCACACCCCCCACTGGGGATGTGCCCGAAACCAAGGCACATGCCCTTGACCGGAACCGAACCTGGGACCTTTCAGTCCGCAGGCCGACGCTCTATCCACTGAGCCACACCGGTTTGGGCATCCTCACCTTTCTGCCATGAGCATCCGAGATGCTGTGCCGAGATACATCCACCAGCTCTCCCTCCAGCAGGACACCGTTTCCCCTGGATGGGATGAGAGGGAGGGATCAGCTGGCTCTGCCAGTCGTCAGGAGAGAGCCCTAGGTTCCAGGCCCAGTTCAGAGTCTGCACTGGGACTGAGGCAGCTCCTATGTGTACAAGCGGCCCCCTTCTCTGTGCTTCCCACGTGGGGCCTCCATGCCTTTGGGGGTCCCAAAGGTTGGGGTGCTGCTGAGGGGGTAGGAGGGAACCTTGTCAGGCTGCGAGGCCAAACGATGGCCCCTCCTGCGGGAAGGACTGTCACCAGGGACTCATTCTTCCCATCTGCAAAATGGGAGAGCAACAGTCATCTCACTCTGCTTCTGTGATGATGACGTAAGATCATGTATGGGACGCTGTTTGGTAAACTAATCAGTGTTTATTATGTATAAAAGAGCTTATTTTTTTTATTTAACCAAATTATAAAGGGTGTCTAAGTTGCTATAAAGTTATCTTTCCTGCTTTGGCTAGGTAGTTGGGTTGATGAGACCCGTGGTCAGCAAACTGTGGCTCGAGAGCCACATGGGGTTCTTTGGCCCCTTGAGTGTGGCTCTTCCACAGAATACCATGGCCTGGGCAAGTCTATGTTGAAGAAGTGGTGTTAGAAGAAGTTTAAGTTAAAAAAAATGTGGCTCTCCGAAGAAATTTCAATTGTTGTGCTATTGATATTTGCCTCTGTTGACTAATGAGTTTGCCGACCACTGGGTTAGACCAGTTGCAGGTTTGATTCCAGGTCCAATTGCCCTAGCTGGTTTGGCTCAGTGGATAACATCTTCAGCCTGCTGACTGAAGGGTCCCGGGTTCGATTCCAGTCAAAGGCACATGCCCAGTTTGTGGGCTTGATCCCCAGTAGGGGGCATGCAGGAGGCAGCTGGTCAATGCTTCTCTCTCATCATTGATGTTTCTGTCTCTCTCTCTCCCCTCTCCCTTCCTCTCTGAAATCAATAAAAATATTTTTTATAAAATAATCAACCAATGAATAAACAAGTGGAACAACAAATTGATGCTTATCTCTCTCAAGTCAACTAATCAATTTTTTAAAAATCTTGAGGGGTGGGATGAGGGCATGGGACAGGGGGAAGGTCAATTGGGGGGGAAAAAGGAGATATATGTACTATTATATGGAATACTTTAAACAATAAAAAAAAGAAGAAAAAGGAAAAATTAAAAGTTTTATAAATAAAAAAATAAAATAAATCTTTTATTTTTCACCTGTTTATTTTTACTTATTTATTTTTAAAGAGGAATGACGAGAGATAGTTAGAAACATCAATCAGCTGCCTCCTGCACACTCCCCACTGGGTATGTGTCCGTAACCAAGGTACATGCCCATGACTGGGAATCGAACCCGGGACCGGAATCTAGCCACTGAGCCAGACCGGATAGGGCATTTTCACCTGCTTAAAGCACTCTCACATCCCTGTTCTCATGGCTATTTTGGAGACAAAGAAGCCTAGGGTCCAGATTGCGGGGTTCCCACTGAGAAGAGCTGGGAACCCCACTTCCTGATTCCACTTTGCATGAAAGCAGAACTGAGTGTGGGTTTCCTGTTTGGGGAACCCCAAAAATGGGAGAGGCGTGGGGCAGGGGTGCAAAACCTGGCTACTGTCTGTACCTAGGTGCCTCTGTCACCCCCCCCCCCCTACCCTCAAAGGCCCGTTCCTTCCTTCTCCCAACTTCTGGGTCCCTCGGGGCAGGCCTGCGCCTCCCACATCCCACCCCCGCCCCACCCCTCGGCCCCGACACCCCTCTGGACTCTGGATCCGGTGCCAGCCGTGCCCAGGCCAGAAGGAAGGCTGGGCCAGCTGGCAAGCGGCTGCCAGGGGGAGTGGAGGGTGGAGACCGAGATCGTGAGAACCCGGCACCCACGTTGGGGCCAGGTTTGGGGGTGGAGACCCAACGCTCTCCAAGGGTTTAACCCGATCGATCCATCGATCGATCCATCGATCGGGGTGTCAGGGGGTGCGCCGCGCCTGCGTGCCAAGGGGAGGGCGCGCGGGAGGAGCTTTGGCACCGCCTGCTTTTCCTCTCACCGGCCCCAGGAGACCCCACCCGATCGGGGAGACCCCACCTGATCGGGGAGCCCCAGTAAAAGCCGGGGTGCGTGTGTGTGTGTGTGTGTGTGTGGGGGGGGGGGGGGTTACCCCTGGTGGGCGGCCGGCTCCCAGGCCCCGCGCAGCTGCGCGCTCCGCACCGCCTTGTTCCGGAGCGCGCTGTCCTGGTAGATGCGACTCATCCTCCTCGGGATCCGGACCGGGACCGGACCGGACCGGACCGGACCGGGAGCAGAGACCAGCGACTCCCGCTCCCTGCGGTTCCGGGAAGGCCGCGGCGCCCGGAGTTCCTGGGCGGGACCTAAAGGGGCCGCGCCTCATTCCCGCCCCGGGACCATGCGAGCCGGGAAGGGGCATCTGGGCAGACCCTGGGCGGGCTGGGATCCCATAGCCCTTCCTTCCTTCTTCTCTCCCTTTTCCTGTTCCTGGAGAGAGACACCCCTGCCCCAATACCCGCACAGAGAAACTGAGGCCCAGTGATCCCATAGGATCGGCTCTGGGAGAACAGAGATCCTATGGGATTGGCTCTGGAAGAAGAAATATCCTATAGGATCGGCTCTGGGAGAACAGAGATCCTATGGGATTGGCTCTGGAAGAAGAAATATCCTATAGGGGCCCTGGGAGAACAGAGATCCTATAGGATCAACTCCAGAGAATAGGAATAGAGAAAAGGGAGAAGCCTTATGGGAAGGGGAAGGGGGTAGGGGAGTTAGGGAGGGGGGCGCCGAAGCTGCTCTTGGGCCCGCCCCAGATCCCACAATGGCTTGGCTGAGGTTCCTGGGGTCTGCGACTGACTGACGCAGGGCCTAGGGTTGGGTGTCAGAGCTAGGGGGTTGGAACTCCCGCTGTGGACAAGTTCCTCAATCTCGGGAGCCTGTGATTTCTGCTCTGTGAAATGGGGTTGGGCCCCAGCCGGTGTGGCTCAGTGGGTAGAGCACCGGCTGGCCTGCAGACAGAAGGGTCCCGGGTTCGATTTCCAGTCAAGGGCACAGGCCCCGGTTGTGGGCAGGAGACAGACAGCCAATCCATGATTCTCTCTTCTCAAGGATGTTTCTCTCTCTCTCTCCCTCTCCCTTCCTTTCTGAAATCAATAAAAAAGATATATAATTTAAAAGGAGTAATAAACTCGTTCCAGAGCACAGCACTGCCCCTCTCTGTCCTCCCTTGATATTCTTGAACCCAGGCTCCCCACTGCCCTTTGTCCAAATGTCCCCTGCTAGCGTGCGCTGACACTCCAACCAACGGAGCCACCGAACAGGGCTGTAGTCGTGTGTGTGTGTGTGTGTGTGTGTGTGTGTGTGTGTGTGTGTGAATCCCTACCCGGGATGCTTTTCCATTAATTTTTTTTTTCTTTTTAGAGAGAGAGAAAGACAGAGAGAAACATCGATGTGAAAGAAACACATCGATTGGTTGCCTCCTGCACGCTCCCTGACCAGGGCCGGGGGGGCCAGGAGGAGCCTGCAACCCAGGTACATGCCCTTGACTGAATCGAACCCAGGACCTTTTGGTCCACAGGTTGACGCTCTGTCCACTGAGCCACACCGACTAGGGCTTAGCTGTTTTCTGTTTGTTGTTTTGTTTTGTTTTTTTTCTAGAGAGGATCGGAGAGGGAGGGAGAGATAATAACACCAATGATGAGAGAGAATTGTTCATCAGCTGACTCCTGCATGCTCCCACTGGGGTTTGAACCCGCCACCCGGGCATATGCCCTTGAACAGAATCAAACCCAGGTTCCTTTAATCCGCAAGCCAACACTCTATCCACTGAGCCAAACTGGCTAGGACTTTAAAAAAAAATTTTTTTTTTTAAGAGAGACACAGACAGACAGACAGACAGACATTGATCGGCTGCCTCTGCATGCCCTGCTATGGGGATTGAGCCCGCAACCTGGGCATGTGCCCTGGCCGGGAATCAAACAGGCAACCTCTTGGTGCATGGGTCGATGCTCAACCACTGAGCCACACAGGCCACGTCAGATCACATCCTAGCAGACCTGACAACGTCTGTCTCGTCCTGATAAAGTCTGGGGGTTCCAGAGCGAGAATGCCAAAGGGCCACAACTGCAGCGAATTTACACACACACACACACACACACACACGCACGCACATGCACACGCACATGCGCGCGCACACGCACACACAAACACGCACACGCACACACGGCACAGAGCCAAAGACACGCACAACAAAGGAGGCACCCGGGAGAGGAGACATCCTGTAAAAGAAGATGTCAGAATAAGAACTATACCTATCCATCACGTGGTGTCGATAAATGCAAACAGGGCAGGCCTTGTTCGGAGGAAAATCCGTGACAGGCCTTCGTATCAGGCAGCTCGTCCTGCCGCGTCACAGCCTCCCGGCCTCACAGGGCCTTGGATGTACCCTGTCCCAGCTACTCCCTGTCCCAGCTACTCCCTGTCCCAGCTACTCTCTGTCCCCGCCACTCCCTGTCCCAGCCACTCTCTGTCCCCACTACTCTCTGTCCCCGCCACTCCCTGTCCCAGCTACTCCCTGTCCCAGCTACTCTCTGTCCCCACCACTCCCTGTCCCAGCTGCTCCCTGTCCCAGCTACTCCCTGTCCCAGCTACTCCATGTCCCCGTCACTCCCTGTCCCAGCTACCCCCTGTCCCAGCTACTCCCTGTCCCAGCTACTCTCTGTCCCAGCTACTCTCTGTCCCCGCCACTCCCTGTCCCAGCTACTCCTTGTCCCAGCTACTCCCTGTCCCCACCACTCCCTGTCCCAGCTACTCCCTGTCCCAGCTACTCCCTGTCCCCGCCACTCTCTGTCCCCGCCACTCCCTGTCCCAGCTACTCTCTGTCCCCACCACTCCCTGTCCCAGCTACTCCCTGTCCTCGCCACTCCCTGTCCCAGCCACTCCACCGTGGCGACCAGCTCTGCTGGGGCTCCACTGACTGCGGGCAGAAGCCGTCCTCCACGCCTCACCGTATGGCCATGCCACCCCACCTGCCCCTTCAGACCACTGGTCCCCAGGGGGCTCCTTACAAGATCGCTCTCTGGAGAGGCCTGAGAAATTGCATCGCCTATTTTCCGGTGGCCAAAGGGACGTGATTGCTAACAGTAAGTGGGGGGTGATAACCCCTGCCATGAAGTGGCATCAGAATTACTCAGGTGTTGCTCTAGCCACATGTGTCAAACACAAGGCCCGCGGGCCAAACCCGTCCCGCCAGGCCTTGCAATGTGGCCCGCACCGCGCTTGTCATCACTGCACTCCGCTGCGTTTCCATCACAATGACAGTTTATGACTGTTCAGTAAACCATTCGGCCCGCGATTTAGGCTGGATTTTAGATTTTGGCCCCTTCTCTGATTGAGTTCGACACCCCTACTCTAGATGGTTTGGCTCAGTGGATAGAGCATCGGCCTGGGGACTAGAGGGTCCCAGGTTTGATTCCGGTCAAGGGCATGTACCTTGGTTGCGGGCACATTCTCAGTAGGGGTGTGCAAGAGGCAGCTGATGATGTTTCTAATTCTCTATCCCTCTCTCTTCCTCTCTGTAAAAAAAAAAAAAAATCAATAAAATGTAGTAAAAAAAGAAAAAAGATTCAGAGGTACCCCGATGCATTTCCTCTTTCCTAAGGTGCTGGCTTGTGCACGCAGTATTTCTGGAAGGAGGAAGAAGCAGCGGATCTCGGCGGCCGCCTCAGGGCCAGAGGCTCCTCGGGTGTGGGAAGGAGATGTATGTCTCCTAGCGTGGCTTTTTATGCTCTTTGATATTTTCTTCCCCGTGTACATGAATTACTTCTCCAATTAAAAGCTAGTTAATTTTTTAAACCGTGGAAACATCTTCATATTCGACCTCAGCTGTCATCAGAGAGATGCAAATGAAAACATCACGGAAATCGCCGAAGCCGGTTTGGCTCAGTGGTAGAGCGTCGGTCTGCGGACTGAAAGGTCCCAGGTTCGATTCCGGTCAAGGGCATGTACCTTGGTTGCGGGCACATCCCCCATAGGGGGTGTGCAAGAGGCAGCTGGTCGATGTTTCTCTCTCATTGACATTTCTAGCTCTCTATCTCTCTCCCTTTCTCTCTGTTAAAAATCAATAAAATATATTAAAAAAAAAAAGAAAGAAAAAAAAAACATCACGGAAATAGCCTTTTTTTTTTTTTTTTTGAAGGACTTCAGAATGAATAAGGCTCACAAGCTGATGAGGATATGAAAAAAATGGGCTCCAGTACTGTGTGCATGTTTCATGCACAGGAATGAGCATATATAGAAGTCATGGAGTTATCGTGAGTTCTATGTAAGTTATAAACACAAGCTAATTCTTGTTCATCTGGAAGTGCTTCTCCTAGTCCCTCCTCCCTCCCTGATTTGTCATTATATTCAGAACTAAATGCATCCCTAAAAGTTTCTTTGAAATGCTATCTTTGCCAGATCCTTTAAAATATATACATGGCTACTCTACTTGCAAATATTCCTCTTTACATGTATTTATCAATTCGAGAGAGAGAGGGAGAGGGAAAGAGAGAAACATTGATTTGTTGTTCCACTCATTTATGCATTCATTGGTTGATTCATATTATATATACATACAGTATATATATTCTTATTGATTTCAGAGAGGAAGGGAGAGGGAGAGATAGAAACAAAAATGATGATCAATTTTTATGGATCGGCTGCCTCCTGCACACCTCCCACTGGGGATGTGCCTGCAACTAAGGCACATGCCCTTGACTGGAATCGAACCCGGAATCTTTCAGTCTGCAGGCCGATGCTCTATCCACTGAGCCAAACACCGCTTTCGGTGCATATTAGCCTTTTATTATACAGGACACTAATGTTCATTCATTCATTCGTTCATTCATTCTCCTATCTCCTACCCACTAGGAAGGGATATGTGTGTGTGTGTGTGTGTGTGTGTGTGTGTGTGCATGCACATGTATTCTAACAGGGAGAGTTCCACCTTCATCCTCTCCAGTGGAAAGTCAACAGACAGTGACTCAATCCGAGAAACCAAGACGGGGCGATGCGTGCGCGCGGGTGAGAGATGAAGGAGAGAAGAGGCGCAGGGCCCGCCGAAGGAGGGAAAGTGGTTTCCGCTGCGGAGGGGGAAATGGCTGGGGAGGCGGAGGAGACGCTGTTTCTCATAACCAGACTTCCACGGTGATGGGGCTCTCACGGTAAGCGCACACGTGACACCGAGAAAAGGCGACAACAGGAGGGTGACCACCAGCACAACAGAGATAGGATCTCGAGCGTGCAAACCATCATGGGGGGGGCGGGGGAGAGGCGGGGGAGAATACAGAAATGTGATTAATCCAACAAATGGTAG